CCAAAACGCATCTAAAGACAGTTGAAGTTGAGATCTGTCTGAACCCGGCTAGAAGTGGTGAATTATAGATAGTCATAATCATCGATAGTTTAAATTGTTTAAAAAATATAAACATATTTACCCTTTATCTTCATAAGACAAAAATAAACAACAGCTGAAAGTGTATAACACAAATACACACGATAGCAACGACTGATTTTTATTCAAGAAAACCAGCGTATCAATATTTATTGCCTTTATGTTCGATCTTCAACGTGTGATTGTGTGTGATTTTGGAGGATATCATTTTTAAAAATCACAAAACATAATTTTAACATAAATTTAACCTCGCAATTTAAAATAAACCTAAACTATTACCTAAACTATTACTCACTATTTAAACCATTAATTTCTAATACTTTTTAATCACTACTTTTAATACGAATTAGATATTATATATGTATACATGTTCACTTGTTGTGAATTGTGAGATTTCCACAGATTGCGCAGTACCGCGTGTAATAGAATATCGTAATAAAATTCTCGTCAGATTAATCAAAACTATCGATAGACATAAAAAATGTCGATAGTTTTCGATAATAGAAACTATCGATAATCCTACACCTCTAAGCACCGCCTGTCTATTCGGTCATAAAAAATGGTCCACCTTTATAGTATTAAAAGCAGAAAGTATCATTTTATATGAGATATTAGTAACGGAAAATCTGTTTGATAATATCGTATTAAATTCATTGTTCATCAAACGAGCAGTTTTATTAGTATCTCCTGTTTGAGAGCTGTGTCTATTAGAAAGAAACGAGACTAGTCCCTAGAAAATTAAGGAAGAAATCAAAGAGCCGGAGAGAATTGAAGGGATGGGATTTTTCTTCGGTTTTTCTCTCGTCCGACCATAAAAGAAAACACAATGGAGGGGTTCCTTTTCCCGCTGATTTCATATTTTCCTTCTCGGTCAGAGCGGGCGCAGTAATTTTTAATGCTATATCTTTTCCGAACATGGCGTGCACCTTCCCGGTACCGGCTTACAGGACTAACGACCCACGAGCCTTTCGCGGAAAATGAATCCACGTTGATGCGATTTTAATAACACTGAAGTGCCCTCCTCTTACCCTCGATATTATCTGCTTAGCAGCTTCTTTAACGTTGCCGTAGGAAAGAATGGTTCAGCCCTAACTCTGTCTTTCCCTTTCCTTTTTCATTAGCGGCGAAATTATGTGGTCCCGCAGTCGTTTGCATTGTCGAAAATATCAGAGAGTCTGTATTTTGCTCATTATTCTGTGCTGATTCAATCCTATGTTTTGTGATACTCGACTAACTTTACTGTGAAAAGTTTATTTTTTACAAAAATGTTATCACTTTTTCGATTTGTTTCGTTTGTATGAATTTTTAACGTCAACTTACAACTTTAGTATGTGTTTAATGTATTGTATATTGTGATAGGGAATTAAAAGCTGCATAAAACCTGAAGGTTTTAAGTTAATGTTCAGAAATAATAATAATAAAAGAAATCAGAAAAGTGAACAATATTGCGATATGGATAATAATATATGTCTGATCATAGAAACTCCGATTCCACTCCGCCTCAAGTGTTGGGGGGAGGGAAGGTCACGCCGAGTTTGTTCCGAGGGAAAACTCTACAACCCTAATAAATCAACTGGATAATTGTTAATTGGCCTGTGTTTATTCGTCATCACGCATCGCGTGTGGAAAACCTTCAACGGATAAATATTAATGGTCTGTAGACTGAGATTTATTGAATTGTGAAAGCGCTCCGTGTTATTAATAATTCATAACATTCGCGCATTTAAAAGGGCATATTCTATTAATTAAATCGGTTTTTCGTTATTTAAACTGATTTTCATTGACAATCATTTCTGTGCCATCTGATGAGTGATATGAATTTCTATTAATGTATCAGTTTCCCATAGTCGCATGCTCAGTTTCTGGTATTTTTATGCAGTCTCGTACGGCGACCCTTTAAAGCAGTTTTCGGCACAGTCGTTCCATTTGTAATGACAATAAATTTTTTATAATTTAAATATAACCGAACCACTCAAGGAAAAAGTATTTAGTACTTTATTTTTTACTTTCAGTACATTTTCCATAGGACCATAACTATTCTACATTTTCCTTGAATAAAATAAAATCAACTATGCAGTGAATAAATGAATTTTATAGTTTTCAATTTGAAGAAACTCACGTCGATCAGTTACATGTATCCGTACTCTGCAGTTATGAAAATTCCTACACAATTTAACTTCGAACTTCTTTAAATATATCGAGAATATCCGAGTAATCTATTTTCGAAAATGGGGCCACAGCAAATTAGTTTCCAATGATTTTCCCATTTTCGAAATCTGATTACGTTTTCTATGCTTTATAATCTTCGTGCACGATCTTCATTCAGACATTGAAGAAATTTCAATTTCAGCTAAAAATATATTAAACTGGTAATGTTTCCTGATGTAATAAGAAGTCATTATTGATAGGCAGCCTATAATTTTAAATGAGAATAGAGCGAATATATGAAGGGAAAGTTGTTAATCAATTAGCAAAATGGCAAACTGAAATAATTTCACGAATTAATTATCGTGTGCATCGTTTGTTGACAAGAATATTGTAATATAACAGATCTGGTTCAATTATTTTCGTCGACTTCTGGGCACGGGTCGTTCAGAAATTGGATTGGTTTGAAGTTTCCATTATGGTCACTTGTGTTAACGTCATTTGAGTTATTCACAGTGGTCTAGTAACCGCCATATCGATTTCACGTTATCACATTTACCTTCGATAAACCACTCGCGTCTTTTTAGTGAGGCATTCCGGTCCAATGAGATTAAGGATTTTTGATCGGTTATTACGGGTACACGGGATTTCGTTTGTAATCCTTCCGGTCATCCGATTTAGTGATTATCGGAGGACAGGAGGGTGGTACAGGGTGAAGCAGATACTCCTCATTATCCCCATAAAACTAATATTTGAGCCTTCGTGAACATCTCTTTTCGAAGAGAATTTCTAATGCAAACAGTTATTTCACTATTGAAACACGTCTAATCAACATATAGTGTTTTCCTGTATTACTGTGACATGTATACAATTGCATGAATAATTTTTTAGCGTTGGAAGATAATTAATAACGTCATTTTGAAGTCAAGAATATTAGAAGTTATTTTAATTCGCCATCTTTGTTCGTTAAAATTCTATTTTTAAATTTTGAGAGGATATTTTTGATAAGTTGTATCTTTGATTTATGTAAACAAAATTTGTTGGACCTGTTACACAAGAATCTTCCTTTAACTAAACGTGACGATTTATAACATAAAAAACAAAAAAAAAGTGTATCTAGTTACGTGCGGCCTTTGCTACTGTGACAGTCAACGTGTTATAAACCTGATCAAAGAGTAAAATTCCTCGACAAAAATACATTATCCAACCGCGAAAATATATGGAAGGCGGACAAAAGTTTCCCGATCAAGCGTTTCATCCCCTGCTCCCGAAAACCAGAAAGCCGACTAAGACTCTCCTCGAAGACATTTCTTTACCCGCGGCAGAGGCCTCTTATCGTCAGTGATTACGACTTTTTAACGGGGATTTCCTCCCTCCTACGCCTTATCTTCGCGTAGTTCTCGTTTCCTTTGCCCTTCTGGTTGTTCCGACCACCCTCGAGCACCGCTTTCCCAACGGTTCCCGCGGTTGTAACCGGATTCCATCCTTCGTTCCACGAACTATCGTCGTCAACCCCTTTGCAACCCCATCGAACCGAGTACCTACCTGCCCCCACTTTTCTCTCTTACTCTTCCTCAAGTTGGAATCCCATTTGCATGTGAAAGAATGCCATTCAAGCCTGCGACGGTCTTCCTTCGTCTTTTCGCGTCGCGACGGGGGTGGGGGGTGGTTCGTTCCTCGAAGCGTTCTCAACCGTGGTCCACTCGAGGCCCCGGCCCACGGACCTGTGTCATGCAAATTTTATTATTGTGACCGCTGCCGAGTCGAACGGACACGCTCGTTCTTTCAGTGTCGCTCTTTTGCACGATTGCTGCGGCCGCTCGTTCACGCGGCTCTAGTGGCCCTCGATGGCTCTCCGGTAGACATTTACTTCGATGGATCGTCGATGGACAGTTTCTCGTGGATATACAAGGCGTTAAGGAAAACGTGGGACACATTCAGAATGTGGATTCTACATGGTAAACTGATGAATATTAAGAGTGATGTAATTGCTTTGGAAACTTCGTTTTCGAGTTATTAAGAGGGTATTCCTACTCAGAGGCGTTATTTTTAAGCGATTTTTAGAACTAAGAATTAATGGACCAAAGAACTTGTAGCTTTTTCGTACGTGTCTGTTCGCATTTCGAGAAAGCACAGTAAAATTTTGGTGCTATTATCTTAACACATTACTTTTATCAAATATTTGTAGAACAATATGTTTCTCTTTCTTTAACTGTTAGACCCGGTCCCATACTTTTGACTGGTAGTATACGTTTATCGTTGGTAGTTCTGGTATTAATTGTTGAAAATACGGGTGAAATACGTCTGACATGACGGACTATTCTACTTAAGTGGCACACTCTTCAAGTGTTGAAATAGAATAAAAGAAAAATTTACTTTAACGTCAACAATACAGTGTTATTAAGGTTTTTATTACACCTTCGTAAAAGTTTTAATCACGATAATACATCGATTCCCATATTTTTATCACAACACATTAACTTTCGAATAACGATGGTAGTGTCACTCTGTTTAGTATGCATCGATGTGTCTAACGAATGAACAAGAAACAATTTTTACAGAAATTCAAGTTTTATATTATGTTTTACAAATTATTGTAAATGAATCTAATATTCTCATATACATAGTATTACATAATATATTATATGGGTCATGTGTCACGCAACTTTTGGCTTTCACTTCCGTTATGCGAAGATCAAGACGTGAATTTCTGTAAAACATTCTCGAACTAATATAAAAAGCTTTATCATTATGGGGAAACATGTTTCTTTTTGCAGTGCCTCCGAATATAGAGGACTACCAGACCTCGTCGGATGCTGTTGTGCGGGAAAATTCGAATGTCACTTTAACATGCAAAGCGACCGGAAGTCCGAAGCCAAACATAAGCTGGAAGAGGGACGATGGTTTAAAGATCAACATTAACAAGACAGTGTCAGGTGAGTGCCCGCTTTTTTGCGCATATTTTCTTTCATCAGCAGATTCGATATGCTGATTCGCTGAATTACTCCACTCAAATTAATTGGAGTACTATCGTTTGCTAAAGTTCTGACTATTTTGGATTCTTTAACCTTTCGGACGGAAAGCCTATTTTCATATTTTAAACTATTTTCACTTTAGAATATCATAGGCAACGTTTTGTTCCGTCCCCGAATTCAAATTTCAATTAAAATTAATTTTCGACGGGTCACAGTTGTTAGTATTGTTAATATATGTATCTAAAAAAGTGTTGCCCTTGTTCCTTAATCTTCGAATATTATTTTCTTACTATATTTTAGTGTAAGCCTGTTTGTAGACTCTAGCGGGTAGCTTATTTCTGGTAGTATAACACTATAACAAACATATAAAAATTCTAACTCGAAAAAATATATATGTCATGAAAAAACTTGCCCAAACCCCCACCTTGTACCCAACTGTTTCTAATTTATCCACGTGTTTGGGAAGAGACTGTTTACGCGCGTTGAATATCGCGCAAACGTCCCCCGGCTGTCTATCCCCCGAAGCGTTTTAATTACACCGCACGAATTAAAGGACATCCGTGTACAAGGTTCTCTTTCTCTCTCTTTTTTTTCCGTTTCCAGTCGACGAAATTCGGGTTGTGTCGTTTTGGGGGGTCCGTGCGCGTCCTTAAAATACACGACTGGCGTCGATCCGTGACCGGATTCCGATAGATTCGGCGAGCACCGAGGCTCGTCTCCGCGGCAATTAAAAATAATGACATTCGTCTGGCTTCTGTCCGAAGATCAAACGGGTGGGATCCGTGTAAAACTGTGTTACCGCTGCCGAAACGGAGCGAGGACGACCGTGGTAGGGTTGTCCGTGAAAAATAAAAGAAAGAAAAATAAATAAAAAGAAATACGAAAAATTACGGAAAACATGACCGACAGTGCGTTTACCGTGGCAAAAAAGGAACAGCACAGAAGAAACTGTCCCTCATTAACGTGTGGCACACGCATCCTCTCGAGTGTTTGAGATCACGTGCAACGCTCGCAACGGTGTGTGTAGCCAGCTAACAGGGCAACCGACTGAGAAAAATTACGCGACGCGTAATTATACGTCACTGGAGAAATTTTTCGAAATGTGTCGCAGAATTTTTTTTTTCCTCGACTCGCTTTCGTGGATCGTGTTCCAGTTTATGGTAATATGGTTATTTATTCGGGGGAATAACAGCTATTTCAAATTGTCGGTCGAGAAAACTTATCGTTGGCTATTTCTGAAGAGGCGGAGATTTTTCGTTCAAGTTTCGAGAGAAATGAAAAAATTTACATGCTGGATGCGAAATCTCGCGACCTCGGTTCTACAGAGAGCGTCAAATGTTTTTTGCGAGGGTAGTTACTTTATATATGTGTAACAATTTGAAAACCAGGCCGGGTTATTGCTTTTCTGGATCTGTAATTACGGATTTCGTCGAATTATGAGCGATTGTGTGACGAGTAACCGAGAAAATGCGGTTGAGGTGTGTAAGAGCCGCCTGGTTTGGTGCAGTTTAAAATGTTTGGTAAATGAGTTAATGACGAAGAGACTGGAAAAATTTGTTTCGTAAACTGGAAGCAACGTTGATTTTGAAATTCTTTGATGAGAAACGATGAGAAATCGTTATTTAACCCTTTATCGGTAAGGTCCGAGTCGTATACGACCCAAGTTATAATTCCCCTTGTGCTGTCTCCACTTTATTTTTTATTACTTTTTTATTATTCTCGTTTTAGTATATTTTGTATTATTCAGTAAACATTTAATACTTATACTGTTATATGACATATAGCTCAATTATTATTTCTTATTATATAAATAAACAGAAATACAAGTTGAACATATTAATTTTTTTTACCCGACTGAAAGTAGCAAAATAGAGCTCGGGTCGGATCCGACTCCACTTTAGTAAGTACGATATCAAGACCCACTTTACCATACTTTTGGTCAGTAGTGTATATGTAGTATGTGTAAACAAAATAATATTTATAATTAATTCTCCAATTACATTTTTCATAATTCACAATCGAGTACAGTGTAGTTATAAAATGTAATTAAGTAACTGATACGTGACCTATTACAGTTTTCTTTATAAAAGAAATCTTCTATTACTTCAGGAATTAATTCTTCGAAAATATAAGTAACTGAATAAATTTGTTTAAATTGAATAAAAAAACGGTTAGTTTTTATTCTTTGATACTGTTCTCTTTCAATGAAATCGCGAATCTGCAAGTTTGCGCGTTGCCTTATGGTAATCAGATTTCGTTCAATTGCTGTCTGGCGAATTTGTCAGGTGATACGTGGTAGATCTTCAGAATTATCTGCAGCGCTAAAAGCACATTTCTTGTTTCAGTGATGGAATGGAAAGGCGAGACGCTGGAAATTGCACGTATTTCAAGAGTAGATATGGGTGCATATTTGTGCATCGCATCAAATGGCGTGCCACCGACCGTCAGCAAGCAGATCAAAGTCTCCGTTGACTGTGAGTACACTTTTTTTTTTGTTACTGCCAGTACATTGCTGGAACAATCTTTATAACAGAGAACTCTATACTTTCCATCGTTTGTGGCGAAAGTACTTGAAACTATGGATCATTTTTAACTTGAGATGGACAATCATAATTGTAATAGATGCATTCAAGACCGATATCACGAAACCGTAGAAGTATTTGCTATTTATTTGAAGTCTTCTGGGATGTTATAAAATGGTACCAGCACTCAGAGACACCATATTTAACAATCTGAGTAAAAAAATACAAAAAATTAAAAACATCAGAGAAATCTATGTTAGAACAGTTTTCAAGTATTTGGAATAACAATTGCTGATAGCAGACATTATCGTTCATAAGTAGTAGGTCATATGGTCTACACGAGGAAAATGTGATGTTTCGTAAAGATTATATATTTTGGGCCACGTTTATTACTTCATGGTAGCATAAACATTGTCCCTTGAGCTTCAATATCCCCTAAACGATATTTTTTTCAGACATCCAGTAATTTCGTAATACCATATACAGTAAATCCTGGATGAGTGTTCGATGATTCCTCGGCACTGACAAGGAGAGATTCCCAGGTGTCACGCTGACATTTCAATGACGTTTCGCACAATGATAGAGCTTGGAATTCTGAAGCCAATATAATATTTGTTTCAGCTTCATATAACCAATAGTTTATGAAATATTTAATGTTCAATGTCGTGGAGCTTTCGAACACTCATCGAGGATTTCCTGTAATATTTATTGCATATCCAATAAGTGTCCTAATACTTATGAATGGGAGTATAATTCAGGTCTTAGAAGGTTGAGTGTATTACCAAATTGCGTCAATTTACACAAAATCGAATAAGATCACCATCCTTATTCACATCTTCCAACGAACTCCACGATATTAAATAATATACGAACAAACAGTGGCAAATCACGATCTCATCGCGAGCAGGTCTCAACCGTATAAAAGTGTTCATTGCACATTTATAAAGTATCAGTTCGAGACCTTTTCCTCCGTGGCAAAACATTAAAAGTGCAAAAGGCTTTGTGCCACGACGCGCGCGCGGCCAGATTCCTCAAAGTGGTCGTCGTCGTCGGTGGTGGCAAGGGGTTGAAGAACAGACAATTTAATAATAGAGAAAGGTGTCCGGCAACAAAGCGAGTCTTTACCGCTTGCACTCTGCCTCGTCCCGATGAAAGAAGGGTGGGGATCGTAGATAAGCGCGGAGGTGGGGAGGAACGTGGCGAGGATGGAGCGGGACGAAGAAATGGCGCGTGAGCCGAGGGCAAAGAGTGAAAGCGAGGACCGGTGTGTAGAGGGTGAAGAGCAGCCCTGCCTGGACATAAAAGTAAGCTCGGGCGAACCACGACACACCATTACCGTTTCCAGCCCGTGTACTTACCTATTGTTACGTTACTGTTTCTCCTAAATACTGAGCGCGTGCCTTTCTGCCGCGCAGCTTCTCTGTGACGCTGGCAACCCTCTTCACGCTACCCCACCCTTTTTCTTTCTCTGCTGCTCCGTTTCTAACGGAGCTTGGCTATTATCGAAGCTCGCTCGAATTAAACGTTCAGCGTTTGTTTCTTTTCTTTTTTTTTACAATTGTTCTCAAAGCATTGGATGTACGAGTTTCACCTCCCCCCTCCCCGTCCTACTGCAGGGATTCTAATTGGAAGACGTTTTACGATTAGGGGTGGTAAGATTTTTGTAAATCGAGATTTATGAGGAAGGACCGAAATATTGAAGAGGGGGCGGATAGAACGTTATGTCTCTCTTCATGTTTTACGAGACGAAATGAATCTGACGGTTTTCAGGTTTATGGGGGGTGATGCGTGATTGCATGGAACGAAAAGTTCCACCGCAGTTTTAGGTTAATGACGGTTATGTTTTACGGACGTATTGTTGGTTTCGTCTTTTGATTACGGATGACTGGGAAGTTTCGTGGGGTAATTGAGAATTTTATTTCGAAATTAAAAAAATTTGTTTAGAAAAGTATGATAAAAGTGATGATGAGGAAAATATATAAATAGAAATTGCATAATAGTTTTGACACCTAATTGTTGTTCTAGAAGTCTGTGAATGAATGTGTATGTCACCATATAATTTATTTCTAACGGTATTTGTATAAATTCAATAAAAAGAGTCTTAAATATTATTTAGACTTATAAAATAGTGTAATTCATCGATCTCAGATAATACCCTCTTCTGTAAATTGCAAATCATTCGTACGATCTTCAAAGCTTCATAAAGTTTCTGTAAGTTTGCTTCCAAATTTCCATTTCTAGCCGCATACAGATGCGAATGAATGGAGCACAATTTCAACAAAGACCGACAAAACATTTATTTTAATCTTATCTCAATAAAACTCTCAATTATTGAAACATACTATTTCTACAATGACTCGAAGCAAAAGAACCTCTAAGCTAAACAAAACTCCAGTCTTAAAAAATCGAGAAACGTGCTTGTAGTGTAAAGAATATACTCAGAACACTCATTCATAGACATCAAAGTAAGCACACATCCAAGTACAAAAGAATTAATATCCTGCTCCTTTCTTTCACTAAATTGCATGAATATTCCTCGACAAATGCTTTCTCCAGCTGGTTAATACTAAAACAAACAAGTGAACTACATCTCACAGACCGGTTGCAAAAGGAAATTAACGTCACGGGATCGAGGCGTCGATTCAGACGCAGGTCGAGATCCGAAACATAAAACACTTCGAGCACGACAATGAAAAGGGGTCAAAGGAGCCCGGGCGTAAAAGGCTTGACAGGAGGCGGCGGGTTCACGAGGAACACGAGCCCTCGTTGTTGTGCGTGCCGTCGTAAGAAAACCGTACACTGTGGAAAAACGGATAACGAAAATCCAAGGAGCAGGTTCCCTTTAGTTAAAGCGAGACTAATTAATTTAGCGGCGTCGTAAAGAAGCGTCAAATTGCGATTCAAGGGGGCAGGAGATGTGCAGAGGGGTAGGCTAGTGGGGGGTTGGAAGCCGGCTGCTGGCGATGGATGGGGTGGGAACGGGACGATCGAAAAGAGGGGATGTTTTTGCCGCGGGTCTCGCCGCGGATGCGCGCGAGGGATTATCCTTTTAGGTGTCCTTTAATTCCATTTGTAGCCAGTGCTCGGGCAAAGGCTTTAGTCAACGAGTATTACCCGGAGTCCTTTGAAGTCAAATTGCGATCGAGTAATGTAATAGTTCTGTCCCTGCGATATGCATTACCGGCGTCGGCCCGCGGAATCGAATAAGATGGCTCGCGGAAAGAAAATGTAATTTTCTGCGTGAAACTTGTCCGACAGGGGCCGAGCGTAACGAGGAGATTATTTTCGCGCTTGTTGACTCGACTTATTGATTTACTTGGTTGCGTGGGAACATGGGAACCGTAAAGAAAACATACTATTGTACCGGCTTTAAATCTACCACTATGTCCTTGTCATTCTTCTTCTCATTGAGTTTTCCTGTATTTCATTTTCTATACCTTTCGTTTTACTATGAGATGTCCTAACTATTCTTTTCCTACGAATTTCTTGGGGGTTCGATTGGCACATTCGGTGACCAGATTCGGATAAGTCTTCAGGGTGTCCCAAAATAGCTTCAGCTCTCGGAAATAAAGGATTCCAGGGGTGATTTGAAACAACTTTTTCCTTAGCAAAAATGTTATCCGAGGCTTTGTTAACGAGATATTAACAAAAAAGAACCGTCCAATCAGAGCGCGAGCCTGTTACATATTTTATGTTTATTCGATTGATTCGGAATGTAACCTGTTATTGCAATGCAAAATTAAAATTTTGTTTTTTTGTGCCCCCCCCCCCTGCCAAACGCCTAAGTTCTGTTTTTTTAACAAATCCTTCAATATACCACACTATTTTGAGGTGATTATAATTGAGCCTGGTGTAAGTCAATAAATATTCTGTTGAGATATTTAGTGTTTTTCAGTAGCTACTTTCACACGATTCACACGGGAAACACGTAAAATACATGGGCAGTTGTTACATGTAAATCATTACGAGCTACGGATTGTATTGAACAAATTTCCTTTTGATAATTAAACGGTAACCCTTTTATGGACGCGCATTTAAAGCACAGTCGACGCGTACAGTGGAAGTATAGGTGCTAAAGAGCAGAAATTATCAAATTACCGGCGGTGATTCGTGCTCGTTTCGCGGGTTTTTATGTGTCCGGAGGAAAATTAATTAAACGACCGACACAGATTACACCCATCATCACCATCCTCCCGATCAAATTACAAGTTTACGAGCTGAAACATTGTCCTCCCGCGTCTTCGATGGCCCCTATCGTACCAACGCCTCGACATTATCATAGTTCGGCAATTATATTATATACTACAATGTATGATTTACCGAGTGTCACGTTGAAACCGTTACTACTGCGTCGAACTCAGAAAAATTTAAACATCCCAGGAATACCGGAAATGTAAGATTTCAGTGTTTTCAAACTTAAAACTGTAATTCTGAAACCCTTAAGAGGTACCTCTTGTACTTGTATACTTGTGAAGTAACAATTTATAAATTTATTCAAGTGTTTAAAAAAGTAAGTAGAAATTTGCTGTTTCTTACAGTTTTTCCGGTTATAAATTAATGAATTGGAGGAAACATTTTAGGGTGAGGTTTAAAAGGTGTAAGCTGTGGAATTGGTTGATTTGGAAGGTCTAAAGGGTGCAATATTGATTAATTTAACGTTTACAACACCAATTTTAAAATTCATGTCGACAGTCGAAGTGTTAACAGACGGACAATTGCCTGATAGAGTGATTACATTCAAGGGCACAACTAACTTCTTGGTATTGTACCTTGACAAATACGTTGAAGTGACTATGTTCGGTTCCAATACCTGTTCCGACGTTATTGAATCTTAACCGTCAAAGAAGCTTGCTGTTCTCTGTTTCAGTCGAAGGGGAACAGGATTGATTGATAGACCTACGAGTCTGCGTGTGACGAAACGACTGATTTTGAAGCGGTTTTCGATAATTAAA